GGGGAACGGGGAGTCCCCCAGCGAACTCTCCGACGAGCAAGTTAGGAAGAGAAGTGGCTTGTAGAGATAGACTAAAGATAGAAAAGCTTAACCTTCTTCTTGTCTTCAACGTCTGCTTATATCCTCTGGTAATCATTTTGTTATCCTTTCCGACCTGTCACCTTGGCCGAAAGTCTATGCTGTAGCTTACCTTGTTCAGGGTGTGGGCGTGTTGTCCCGACGGAGAGGGGTTATTGCAATAAATGCTGTAAGGAGCCTCATTAATGGCGATGTGCCGTGGCAATAACTTTGCAGATCTTTATCTGTTGATGTGGCTTGCCCTTCTCTCGCCACGTGTCTTGATGTCATTGGTTCTTATTGCTATGTGGGGCTTTAGCAGTGCTAGGCTTTAGTATTTGAGATATGTATTGGGCCCTGAACGATGGGCTATAATCTTTATGGGCTTACCCATGTCAAAATTTATTTTTTTCAATTTCAATTTTAATTAAAAAGGTTTAATTTTCAGAGTATAATTTTTTTTTTGGTCTATTCATAAAATATTGTCTTGACAATAAGTCACTAGAAAACTTTTTAAAAAAATGGAAGCAACCTTTAATTATTCTAAGAAATGAGGAAATTAATTATAAATCTATGGAATATAAGTGAGAAATGTGCTTTAATATAATTGAGGTATGTGCTCAAGGCCATGGACTATTCCGTCCACTAATTTTTTTAGAATGTGTTTAAGGCATAATTATCGCACGTAACCAAACTAAAATCAAACCAAACCAAGCCTTAAGTTTCATCAAATAGGGTCGGCTATATGAATCTTTCTTCTCAACGAGGCCCTATCAAAGGACATTTCGTTAATCAAATTAAGTAGATCCATATATCTATTTACAACGCTAACCAACGTTAATCTAAGCCTACCCCATCCCCTAACACTTCCATCTACCGTTATAGCATCGCATTTCTTCACTACTGTCTCTGTTGAATATGACAAAACCATCTCAATCGATTCTCTCTTAACTTATCTTTTATCAGTATTACTCCTACTCATTTTAAAATATACGTGTGTGTCGATTTCTGACCACATTGCCAAACTGGTACTCAGCTGTAGAACACTGGCAGAATAAATTGCCCGAACGACCTATCACAGAAAATAAGAGATTCCGACGGTGGTTCATCCACCCGGGGGCACTCCGACGATCAAGTCAGCTATCTCTCAAAGATAACAAAAGTGCTTAACTCACTATTCAGAACATAAAAAGCATACCTTAGACCCATGAAGGTGCCTCTCTTTTATAGCCAACACAAACCTAGTCCCATTAGAAGCCTAGCTTCAATGGACTTAGGATTACTGTTAATCTTGGATTCCCAGTAGGATTGGGATAAACTCTCTAAAAGTCTTATCTTTACCCAAACTGAAGTCCTCTCTCATTCTAGGACTCTTGTTCCTTATCAGATTATCCCGGATTCTGGTATCTTCGCAGATAACCTCGGCCTAGCCAAGATGATCTCGGCGTCATAACCAGGACACGTGGCACCTCGGTTGGCACTTCGGTGACACCTCGGTCACGTGTTGTCATTCAAAAAATTATATCCCCACAAATGCCCTCGAGGTTCTATTACCTCGGCATCCTGAGGTGATGGAACCTATATCATTCCTTCCTTTAATCATGACCCTGGTTTAACTTCAGCTTGTAAATTTTTTCTTAAAATTTCAATAAGTGTTAAACATGACCTCAGTTTAACTTCAACTTGTAAATTTTTAAAATTTCAACAAGTATTAAACATGACCTCGGTTTAACTTCAACTTGTAAATTTTTAAAATTTCAACAAGTGTTAAACATGATCTCGGTTTAACTTCAACTTGTAAATTTTTCTTAAAATTTCAACAAATGTTAAACATGATCTCGGTTTAACTTCAACTTATAAATTTTTAAAATTTCAACAAGTGTTAAGCATGACCTTGGTTTAACTTCAACTTGTAAATTTTTCTTAAAATTTTAACAAGTGTTAAACCAACCTTAGCTTGTAAATTCCAACTCCCAAGCATCATTCTCCAGCCCTCTACCCCCGCGCGTCTTCCTCGGCCCTTGCATACTTTTCAATTCTGGTCATGAGTTCTTCCATGCTCTTTGGCAGTGTCTTTGGCAGTGATTTTCGAAGCAGACAGTCATCTTTCAGGCCATTCTTAAAGGACACGACCGCCACCTCTTGGTTGCATCCTGGTATTCGGTTGAACACCTCATAATACCTCTTGGCATAAGCCCAAAGGATTTCATCCTCACTGATTCTCAAAGCCATCAGGGAGTCCACCCTTAACGGCTGTAGTTTGTTTGTCACAAACCTGACCACGAACATCTCGCCCAGGTCCTCCCAGGTTTTCACAGTTTCTTTCTACAACTTGTGAAACCAGTCCAATGCAATTTTCCCAAAGGACGAGGGGAACACCTTGCAGAGCAACGACTCGTTCCCTGTGTATAATGCCATCGAGTTCAGGTACAAGCCAACGTGAAAGTTCGGGTCCGACTTACCGTCGAATATTTGGAATCTCAGCATGTGGAACCTTTTTGGGGCCTCAAATTTGTCCATCTCTACCGAGAACGGATGTCCTCGGCTTGACCGGAGATGTCACCTCGGCATCTTGTTGCTTTCTCTGGAGGTAATCCCTTAGATCCTCCTTGGTTCGTTCAGGAGCTCGACTATCTCCGGATTTCAACCTTTTTAGTGCACTACTTCTAGTGTCATTGTGAGTCCTTTTGGACCTTTCTCCATTAGTTGCGTTGAAGCATAGCTCCTGTCCTTGAACATGCCGATGTTCTTTAGGGTCAGCTTCCTTGGTGCGATGCGTCCTCCTAGATTCTTCCTTTCTTGACTCTCCTCGCCCGACCTCCCTAGAAGGCCGGTGAGAGTGTTTTTCAGTCCTAGTGTACTGGGGGACTGTTTTCTGCCCCCTTTTCTAGGTACCTTTCTTAGTCACTGGAATCGGCGTATCTTGGAAAGGGAACGATGACTGCATGATGTTGTTTTGCATCATGAAATTGACGATCGTTTGCAGGTTCGCCAATTTGTTCGCAATTCCCTTCATTTCGTCGTCCCTCCGCAGACATCTATCCTTCTATACTTGGAGGTCATCCTCGTTATAATACCCGCTTCGGTCTGATTTCTTTGGCACGTCGCTCTCTTGGCCGACTTTCTTTTCTCTGTGATTCTTATCTCGAGTCTCTTCGTTGCAGTTATCTTCTTCGACATCAAGGTCAATGTGTTTCTCACTTCCAGTAGAGGTGTCGTCTCCAACCTTCTCTTTCTGTCCGTCATTGGCCATCTATTCTCATTTCTTTCCCACAGACGGCGCCAAATTGTGTGTGTCAATTTCTAACCACACTGCCAAACTAGTACTCAGCTGTAGAACACTAGCAGAATAGATTGCCCGAACGACCTATCACAGAAAATAAGAGATTTTGGAGGTGGTTCGTCCACCCGGGGGCACTCCGACGATCAAGTCAGTTATCTCTCAAAGATAACAAAAATGCTTAACTCACTATTCAGAACATAAAAAACATACCTTAAACCCATGAGGGTGCCTTTCTTTTATAGTCAACACAAACCTAGTCTCATTAGAAGCCTAGCTTCAATGGACTTAGGATTACTGCTAATCTTGGACTCCCAGTAGGATTGAGATAAACTCTTTAAGAGTCTTATCTTTACCCAAACTGAAGTCCTCTCTCATTCTAGAACTCTTGTCCCTTATCTGATTATCCTGGATTCCGGTATCTTCGCAGAGAACCTCGGCCTAGCCGAGATGATCTCGGCATCATAACCAGGACACGTGGCACATTGGTTGGCACTTCGATGACACCTCGGCCACGTGTTGTCATTCAAAAAATTATATCCTCACAACACTAATTCCTAATTCTGTCTTGTTTAATCTTGATACACATCCACTTTAGCATTCTCATCTCAGCCACACTCATCTTATCTACATGTTGTTTCTTGGCTGCCTAACACTCCGTCCCATACAACATCGCTGGCCTAATAGCTATTCTATAAAACTTGCCTTTAAGTCTAATGGGTATTTGTTTATCGCAAAGTACCCCAGACGCATTTCTTCACTTACACCATCCCGCCTTAATCCTATGGGCCACATCTACATCAATCTCCCCCGCTGTTGTGATAATCGACCCTAAATAACGAAAATGTTCACTCTTAGGCAGTTCTTGATCCTCAATATTCACTTCTCCTCTGCTTTCATTATCGCATATACTCCATTAAATTTAATTAATTTTTTATAGGACTATAAATTAGTCGAATTAAGATAACTAAAAAATTATTTAAATTTGACTTAAAATTTAAAATTTTTTTAAAGATGTTTAAGTTTGAATTAAATTTTTTAAAATTGATTTCAAATGAATTGTAATTAAATTGACAAGAAGTGAGTCAAGTAATTTAATTTTTTATAATACATATAAAATTATCGAATGGAAAGAATTTGACAAATTTAATTTTAAAATTTCACATAAAATTTGTTTAAATTTAAGTTATCCACATAGCAAATTGATTTTAAATAAATTTTTAACAAGTTAACATGAATAGATGTCAAGCTGTTTATCTTTATTTTCAAAATATAATAATAATAAAATTATAAACACATTTACTGAAATTTATTTAAAATATGAATTGCTCCTTATAGTTTTGGAAATTACATTACATCTCTTCAAGTTTATAATCGTATAACAAATAATTCATTTTATTAATAAATTATCAAGTCAATTAATAGATTTAATGATGTTAGAAATATATTTTAAATGAAAATTCCTATAATTTTATTGTTGTATAAAAAAGTAGTTAGAAAATTGTTTTTTTTTATTATTATTAATTCTATTAAATAAATTTTTTTGAAATATTTGTAATTTTCTAAAATATAGGACAATTTGTATTTTATCAAAACTCAAGGGTGTATTTATAATTTATCCGAATAATAAAATAAAGGCTAAACCGATTTGTACTCGGAGCCAGCTCCGGTGTCAACTCAGCCACTTTGCACGTTTGTTGCACAATCGGATTCGGAACCTCTATCTTTCACTTTTGTCTCCAAAAATCTGATCTCTACAAACTCACATGAACTCCATTAAAGTTCACCAATTTGACTAACTCCCCAGAACCCAACAAGGTAAGATCTTCTCTCTCTCTATCTCTTTCTCTCTAGAGAACACAAATCAAGAAATGTACAACACTTATGTTAGTTCAACTCTATCACTTGGGTGTAATGGGTCACTTTCCTTTTCATTCAATGACTGCTCTTACTTGAATGATAGATTTGATAGAAACCCAATTCCATTATCGTCACAATCATGCTGTTCTTGTTGTGCAAATTCTCAATATAGATGTCCCATAAGCCCTAGCTTTTCATATGGGTTGGGCCAATCTGCTCTGATTCAGTGGTCAGGTACTAGGAGGCTGATTTTGGGTGGTGGAGACCGGTATTATCACCGGTTTCCGGTTCACGAGACGGGTTGGAGTAGTTGTTGTTGTGGGTATGTAAGCCCTCTCAAGGTGAGGAGTGTTAGTGGTAGAAGAGGGAGGTGGGAAGAGGGAAGATTTAAGGGTATGGTTTCGGAGGAAAAGAGAAAGAGACATCATTCGCACTGTGTCGATGATGATGTGGAAGTAATTCTCAGCTTGTTGACTGAGGTAGTGGGTGAGGAGTGTTTTCTCTTTAGGGAGAGAAGTGGTAGTTCGTCTAGGAGGGTGGAAGTGGAGAAGGGAAGTAATGGTGGTCGTACTTCTTACAGTAGTAAAAAGAAAAATGTTGGTTCGGGTTTGTTGGAGAGTAATTCGAAGAGCGAAGTTGCATCTGTTAGGATTCAATTGAGGGAAGAGGATTGTAGACAAAAAGAAAATAAGGAAAATTGTTTGAGGGGTGAGAAACGTAGGGCGAGGAAAGAAGGATCCAGATCTAGTTGCTCATCTTATTACTCGTGTTCTTCGTTAGGAGAATTTGAGGGTGATGTTGAAGTTCAGGCTAGGCAAGAGGGATATGGAGGGGAATTGACAAGTGGGTTTAAAAGGGATTCAGTGAAAAGTGGAGAAGCGACATATGAGGGGGAAATTGAGGAAGATGTAAAGAGACAGGGGGTTGTTATGCAACAAGAAAAAATTCCCGTAGGGTTGTATGCAGCATCAAGTGGTGTTGAATGTGATTGGAGAAAAGCAACTGAGAAAAAACTTGCTGACGAGTCGATTGAACAAACGGAGTCTAGGGAAGAATCGTTACAGAAGCACACAAGATTATCAGAAGTCCACGAATCTGGTTATAGAAAGGATTTTTCTTCTCAAAGGAAATTTGATGAAAAGGAAGAAAAGTCAACTTTGCGTGTGAGTATTGATGGTGGAACAAGACAGCGATATAGTCAAAGAAGTGACCAAATTGCTGGACAGTCTGAATCAAGAGTGGAGTACAAACATTCTACTGGAATGCAAGAGATCCGTAGCAGTGATATTGAAGCAATTTCTAGCTCTGATGACAAGCATTTCAGCGGTAAGGAAGCAAACATAAGTGCAGAAGGGTTGGTTCGGGAAACAAGACATGAACATGCTAAAACGGCTGGCCCTATTAGCCGAAAAGATGACTATAGAAGAAATTCCCAGCAACTCAGTGAAGTGTCAGAAATTCAAGGAATCAATGTTAAAGGGACCTATAGCTCACAGGGACAGTCTAAATCTAGTTTGAAGAACATAGACAACAAATCAACATTGATTTTGAGTTCGGTTCAGGACATGCAAGAGCAAGCCCATTTAACAAGTCAATTGGACTCCAGACAGATGGAATATAGAAGAAAACAGTTGACTGAAGTATCAGATATGCACGAGATTGATATTGATAACACTTCAGCTTCGTTGAGGCAGTCTGATAGTTCATTTGTGGATGCCAACAGACAACAGTTCCAAACAGGTCAAAAAGCTATTAGGAGAACAGAATCAAGAAAAGGATCCCAAGATGTGAGCAGTGCAGTACTTGATCATTCGAGTGATGCTCAAGTTACTAACACTCAAAGGCAGTCTGAAAAGACAATGAGTAGTCAAGAAACATATTCGACATTGATGGTGAAATCGACCAAGGAAACCGCAGAAAGACATAATCAGACCGATGAAAGAGTCGTTCAAATTGGATCAAGAAAAGAGGCTCAAAGGCCCACTAAGGCATTGAGTTTCAGTGAGGAAACTTCAAAAGAGGCCTCTAGTTCCCGAGCATCTTTGATATTGAAAACTCAACCTACAGTGCAACAAATTGGTGTGCTCCACGTGGAGCCTTCGTACATTATTTCTCATGAAGATGCACTGGGTTCTGCTGATCGATTACAGAAATCCTCCATGCACTTTGTGGGTGAGTTTGTTGAGAAGATGACACACGAAGTCTCAAGTTCTGAAATCCAAAAGGAAAGTAGAATTTCCGAAACAGAGTTGGTGAATGAAGGCCATAAGCATCAGGAAAAAAGCTCAAGTCATTATGGTTCTGGAGACTTTAAGTCTAGGGAGTCTGACTCATGGCGCTCTTCCCGGAATTCTGGTGTAAAAGGGCCTTCAGATGAAATATGGAATGTGACAGATTCATCTGTTCAGGAACCTGTTGAGACAGAAGTACCAGAAAGAAATTCACCAGCCACCAATACCGTTGCCAAGAGAACAGGCAGGTCCATGTGGAATATCATTGTGGATATAGTTCGATTGCGATGGGCTTCCAGTTCTGAAAGCCATAATTCAACTCTAAATTTGGAGTGTAATTCTACTAGTTCGCCAAATCAATCAGTTAGCAGTGAAGCATGGTTCTCTGGTCATGAGCAAGATGAAAACAATGATGAGAATGTAAAAACGGAAAAGAAAAGCAAGTCACAAGATTCCAAATCTTCTGGTCAACAAAACCCAGTAACAATTCCCACTCAAAGTCAAGGAGAAGGGTCCAGCTCAACAAGTTCAAAGGACGAAATAGTTCCTGTAGGAGGGAATACACAATCCTTTTCAAGTGGCTCAGCATCCAAAGGCATTTCTTCAGTCTGTGAAGAGAATTTCGGAAGGAATGAAACTACAAAAAACCATGTTAGTATTTCCGACGATGCAATAGTGGAACCACCAGTACTAATGCCTTCTTTACACATTAGAAGATCTCCTCGTGTAGATGAAATTCCAGAAGATGGTAAGACCGATGTATCTGGAAGTGGTTCATCGGTGCAGAAGGAGCAACTAATTGGTGCTGGTCTAACTGAAGTATCAGGGACTGAGGGAAAGGGCGGGGAATTGAAACACAGAAAGCTTCAACGTACCAATCAGGTCATGAAAGATAGATTTGATGAATGGGAAGAAGCATATAAACTTGAAAGTGAGCAGCGAAAAATTGATGAAATATTTATGAGGGAAGCGCTGTTAGAGGCCAAAAAGGCTGGTGATATATGGGAGGTTCCTGTCGGGGCTGTGCTGGTACAACATGGAAAAATAATTGCTCGTGGGTGCAACCTGTGAGTTATACTTGCTTATTCCTTGTTTAAGATATCGACTTTGCGTGGTGTAATTCATAGTTACATATTTTTTTTCAGAGTGGAAGAATTGCGAGACTCCACCGCCCATGCAGAAATGATTTGTATACGGGAGGCTTCAAATGTACTCCGTACATGGAGGCTTGCGGTAAGTTGGTGCTGTTTTGACTCATTTTTAGTTTAGCTCAATTTGATTTATTTCTTACTCATCTTCTGATCATTGTGCCGATGATGTAAATACATGCCCATAGTTTGCGTCAGTTGTGCTAATGCTTAGAGTTTGTGTTAGTTCTGCTATTACAGAAACAGTTTGGAGGTGAAATTTTAGTGGTACCATGTACAGAATCTCCAGTGTCAGTGAATGCTTTATTGCAACTCCCTGTGGAACTATGAACCAAGGCGAGGTTTTAGTGGCTAGTGTTGCCTGGAAAATTGTGTGATCTTATCTGGTTTACTTGTTCAACATATGAGATAGAGCTGATTTAGGAGTAGTATGACAGCAAGATAGTTCTTTCAAGGTTGAAGTACTGAATGCCCTGGAAATCTCATTGTGCTTGCATGCAATGTCCTTAGAATGACAAAATATTGAGCAAGGGTCATCGGTGCAGTGGAAAAGCACCAGACTCCTAGGGGTCAGCCAAGCTCAGCGTACTGGGTTTGAGATGCCGAGTAGATTTAGTTCAAGAAACAAAAGTGATTGTCTGATGAATAAAAAGACGCTAGGGTTGGCAGCTGTTTGACTCAATGATGTATTCCAATTAATTCAATTAGCTAGCTGTCAACCCCTCAATTTCCTTCTAAAACCACAATTACTTTCCTCTTCATTCCAAAGGAATTATATGAGGACACTTTGTTAGTTCTTGTGCCCATTATTGTCGAATCGAAAATCAAATCATTGTGAATTGTATTGAATTGTGAATTGTAAGCTTCACTTTATTTAATATAATATATAACAACTGTACTTCTGCCTGAAAACAGCGACTTCTACCAAGTGCTCTTGAGTTTGTGATAACTGATGCATCAAGTTGGTATGTACACTCTAAAAGAGAGAGGGGGTATATTTAGAATGTCATGAATAACAAAGATTCAATCTTCTTTCTGGTATTTTGCTTTAGCATAGTGTCTAAATTTGTGGATCTTTAATATCAGACAAAATATATCAAGTTTGTTGTGTGTGTGTGTGTGTGGAGACCTTAATTTCTAAGGATGGATAGGATGGATAAGGCCATTCACGGTGTCAGTTCCTGATACTTGATGGTGCTGGGAGGATAAATTGGGTACAGACCTAACATTTGGCATAAGTTGTATGAAATGGCTGCTATTAGACTCTCAAACCCACTCACAGCACAAGCTTTTATTCAAATGGATGGATTGTAATTTTGAAGTGCTCTCGAGATCAAAAGTAAAATTATTTATTTTTCAAAGAGCATCCAAACCCATCATAAGATGGTGATCTTGGGCCATTGTATACCTTTATAGGAATTGTGATGGCCATTGTAAAGCTGAATATTTCTAGATTTTGCAATCCTTTATATTGAAAATTCTTTTCTTTAAAATAGATCATTGTGATATGGTATGTTTTGGGTTATTTAAGCTATAAGGAGACCAACTGAAAGTAACTGCATCCTTCATAAGTTTTACATATAGACATTTTTTATGATTCTATCAAAGCTGTATGAGGGTTCCTTATTTTAACCTGTACATACAATATATATTTTTTTTTCATTTTTTTTTTTCCCTTCAGGAGACTACCTTATATGTGACACTTGAACCATGTGCGATGTGTGCCGGAGCAATTCTTCAAGCTAGAGTTGACACCGTTGTATGGGGAGCTCCCAATAAGCTCCTAGGAGCAGATGGTAGCTGGATTAGGTATGCAATAAAATTGTTGTCTCTATAATTGATATCATGGTCTTTTCACCCATTCTTATGGAAGACAAAATGTGGATTATAGCATTACTTGGAACCTATGTTACATGACTCTTCTAAATTTGTGAAGTACCCTTGTTAGACACTTGACACTTGGGTAAGGGTACAACATGTGTTTGATATGCCTAGTTGGAGATGCGCCCAAAATAATATGCATAAGATTTCTATTTTATATTTAAATGCAATTTCTTGTTTTTAAGCATCATTTTATCCTTAAAATATTTTTAAAATTATTAAAAAATATGAAATATAGCCCTATTCAGGTGTCCTTGACATGTGAATTAGATGAATTCGACACTAAGATACATATCCGCACTTGTACCTGACACTTGTACACGAGCCCATTTAAGATACCCTTTCTGCATCACTAAATTGTTGAATTTTATTATTAGTATTTGTTTAGAGGCCCACCAATGGAATTCCAAATGTTATTCTGTGGTATTATGACATGATTTTCACTATGCATATCAGCATTTTCAATTGTAAAATTCTTCCCTAACATAGTGGACTAGTGGTTTCTATTTTGGAAATATTACCCATCTTGTTTGCATGATATGCATTGACCAGCTTTGGCCGGACTGGTTTTCAATTGAAGCTGGTTGAAATGAAGCCCATCCTGTTATGGTTTATGATCGAGTCGGATGATAGCAATGAAACTGGTTATTATTTGCATGTTAGTTTTACTTAAATATAGAAGCCGAAGCATGTGGAGAAAGAGCTATAGTGAATTTTTCCACATTGAAGTGCAAAAAACTTGATAAGAGGGATTTTTTCTTCTCTTTTCCTTCTCATTTTCTTTCCGGGGGGGGGCTCCACTCCGCCACCACCGACACCCCACCCCTGCCACCACCATCACTACCACCACCCCCTCCACCCTGCCATCACCATCACTACTGCCTCCACCACCACTCACTAGTACACTAGTTTTAAAAACTTAATTAATCTGTAGAAAATGTCTTTTGTCAAAACAAATGGAGCATTGAGTGCAAAAAAACTTGATGACATGGATCTTTTTCTTCTCTTTTCCAATTGTTTCTTCTTTCCTTGGTTGGGGACTGAGAATGAAATTCCATTATTTATTTGTTTTTCATTTTTAATTTTCTTTTTTGGAAATTCCGTTGTATTTTGATCTATAATAATCATTTTTACAGGCTTTTTCCCATTGGGAGCGAAGGCGGAAATGGGTCAGAATCAACGGATAAGCTGCCTGCACCAGTCCACCCATTCCACCCAAAGATAACGATTAGGCGAGGGGTATTGGCGGCAGAGTGTGCTGATATAATGCAGCAATTCTTCCAACTAAGGAGAAGGGAGAAGGACAAGAAACCAGACTCATCAACAGAACGTTCTCATCTTCCCATTTCACACCATCCTTCGAAGTTTTTCACCAAGATGCATGATGCCTTCCGCATCATGTTCTGTTTGTAAAGGATCAGACAAACCAGTCTTCGATTAGCAACTGTCGTTTGATCGACTCAAGTTGTTTTTGATGTATTTTACTGATCCACAAAATAAAAATGTTCAGTTTGTGTGGTTTATTCCGCATATTTTCAATGAAATTGCCATGCGTTTGTTTGAAGTAAAGTTCATTGTTTCAAGTATTTGTTGGGATTGCATCTAGATTACGTTTTTCTAAAAGTTGCAATTTGATAGTTTTTAAGCAAAATCTAAAAGCATTCTTTTCCAGGTTTCAAGTTAATTAGCTTCTACTTTATATATATATATATAAAGGTTAAGTTACAATGAGCTCCTTGAAGCCTTGAAGTTTGAAAAAAATATAGTAAGTCATACGATTTTGATATAATTATATTAATTTTCTTTTTAATAAGGTTAAATGAATTAAAATTAACACAGATAATGCAAAAATATAAAAATAAACAATGTAAAGTATACGTTTTCGTTTAAAAGATATAATAATATCATTTTTTTTAATCTATATAACTAACAAATTATTAATGAAAAGGGAGTTATGTGATATATGAATTAAAATTTCAAATGAGTTAAATGTACTTATGTCAAAATTATGAGATTTATTACATTTTTTCTAAACCTCAAGGGAGATGAGTGTAATTTACCCAAAAACAAAAACAGCAGACCCATTTCAGTTGTAACAAACAGGCCCTTCAGAGTATTCCATTCCATCTGGTGAGGCTTTTTCAGGCATTGAAGATTAATAATAATGTGTCACAAAAATATTGTTAAATAGTGTTCCTTGGAGCAACAGAATTGATTGGGACTGGGTACCAATGCTTAGGTCTTCTGTCAAGATCACACATTGTGTTCCAGAAAAAATGATAGGTAGGGTTTGCTACCATCACTTTTCGCCAGTCCCATGTCATTTCTCTATCAACTTAAAAATATTTCATGTATAATATAAGGTTAGTCTGTATATACATTTTCAAAAGTTATAATTTAATGTGATTGAATTACGACACGATACTAACATTATGTAGCAAATCATAAATTGCCACATTGAGTTAGGAGAATGAGTTAGAATCCGACTACATTGAGTTGTAACTTCCATTTGAATCATAATTTTTGAGGCTGTTGACTGAATTGAGCCATTTTGAACCAATCACAATTAGCCCAGTTGGTCAGAACCCTTGTATATCACTAGAAAGTCAATAGTTCAAATCTTGGCACAATCAAGATACCCCCTCCCCCAGGCTACAACCTTCCATGGACCCTAAAAAAAAAAGTTCATTTTGAAACACATTTTCCTTATTGAATGATTAGAAGAAGAGTAGCAATCACATGAGGACTATGTCTCTCCTTCCATCAGTTCACCTAATATTTTTTACTTCTAGAATTCCTTCTACTCTACCCTACGGAGTATATAAACCACAACATATCTTCCAACCAATTTCCATATCCACCAATATGGGTTCACTCTGGTGGGCTTGCTTTCTGGCTTGCCTCTGCCTTCCACTAAGCCATGTCCATGCTCAAGCGCCAGCAGCCTCACCTTCTATTTTGCCCATAACAGCAACACCATCTCCTAAAGTTCCACCATCTTCAAGCCCTGCCATTCTAACCCCTCAAATCCCACCACCACAACCGCCGCAATCTCCTCCAATCTCTAGCCCTTCACAGCCACCGGCTTTGCCATCACCACAGGTATCCCCAGCACCCGCCCAAGCACCGCCAGCACCAGTGCCGGCACTGGCACCAGCACCAGCACCAGCTATTGCGTCACCAACCCCGGCACAAGCACCAGCTATTGTATCACCAACCCCAGCACCAGTACTAGTACCCTCACCTGCACCAGCTCCTGGAAAGCACAAAAAGAAAAAGAAGCATAAGCACAAGAGACATCATGCACCGGCACCGGCACCTACTGTTGTCCAAAGTCCCCCATCACCCCCTACAGTTTCAGACTCAGGAACAACACAAGCACCATCACCAACTCTAAATTTGGTAATGAGACTATTATTTTCTCACTGAAATATTTATGATTTTTTTTTTTTGTGGTATAAATCAAGTACCCAAACTTATTAAGTCACTGACCTTTTCTGACTTCTCATTACAGAGTGGAGGAATTGCACTTCAGCAGAAAGGACAGCTATCTAGAACATGGTTGAGGATTGCAGTGGCCGTTGCAGTTCTGCTTGCCGTCAAGGGCTAGAATTTTGAGAATCTTATTTGATGAGCGATGGCCATAGCTATTACAGAGGGAATATTGTCAACAAAAAATATTGATTATCCTTTTACATTTTTATTAAAAAATATTGATTATCATATTGATTATCCTTTTACAAACTCTTGCCTAATCTCCTTCAGAGGGAAGGAGGGGAAAAGTTAAAAAACAAGAAGCCATTGCATAGTAAATATTTATAACTAGAACTGTAATCAGACAATGCTAGTTTAACTTTGATTTCACTTGTCAAACTTGATCTGCAGTTGAGTCAGTCCCACTATCTTCCCGAAAGTCATACTCAACCACCAGCCCAAGATTGTCAATTAATTTGTGATGCTGGAAACACCCTGCACACTAACAAGTACTGACAATTGGTGAAGATATTTAAAAAAGTTTCAACAATATTTATTATTGCAGAGTTATGAAAACAAGTTTTGGACATGAAAATCAAAATGTGACCAATCAAATTTATAGTCTAAAATTACGTTACATGAACTCTTCTGGGGCGTACTGAAATGAGGCACTTAATCAAAATGCAGACATAATCATTACATTCTTTATGGAAGCACTTTATATTGCTTTGAGAGTCCTCCATCTATTAAAGCAAGTCCAGTCAAAATAACTGGCAGCTATAAACCTGATGATGATCGTAAAAGCTTTGTCCATTAAATAGCTACATACAGAATATTTTCTGTCACTCTTTATATATATATATATATATGACAAGGTAAAACAAAACAACACTCTTTGTAAGTGTATAAATTCACATTTGGTCAATATGCAAAACCTAACACTATGATGTATTTATCTATTTTAACATGGATTATGAAAACCTATAATAGATGACATAATTAAGAACCAGGTTGTAGAAGTTCCATCATTATAGCCATCAACAAAATCATACCTGTACAAAAACAGTTCCTCGTTCGTAGGCTAATCGATTTATGAGCTTTTGTGTTCTTTCACCACATGCATTGCAAGTGAAATGCACTAACAAACTTCTTCTTGGGAGTTTTAAATCAACAGTTTTTAAATCAGCAGTTGCTTCCTGCACAATGGACGTGTGGCAGACAGATCAGATTAAGAGAAGAGAGTGAATGTTCATACAACAAATAACCAGAACATAACTGTACAAAGTCTACAGTAAGAAGACATTATCACAAAACTAAATGAAGTATATTCAAAAAGTAAAAGCAGATAAATATTTTCTGATACAGCCATTTCCATTGAATATAATCAACATATACCTCATCCCAAACAACAATTTGTTATTGGTGTGACCTGAATCAGTATCAGAGTAATAGTTAAAAAAAAGGTATTAATCAATGAAATAACTTAAATCCCAAACAGTGGGGGTCAGCTGCACAGATCCATTGCCGCAATTTAGCAATGTCTAGGGCAGCCTCATAGATAAAACTTTTTGGATAAACGGTTATCCGTTAAAAGGGAAGGAAAATAGTGTGTAATTTACAGTTTGTTGCAGTGGCTAAAAAATTTAACTGACTTTCCTACTAAGTAAAGGAAACTGAACTTTTATATAATGCAGTAATTCCAAAATAAATAACAAATTTCTCAATATCCACAGTACAGAAATTCCCAATTGTGATTTCAGATCAATTCAAGAACAACTGAAGATAGCATCACAAATTAAATTGAAGAATGGCAGTACATCAAGGCCACCACACCTCCATCGTCAAAATAATTCTCCTACTTATCAATGCATAAATTTTATGCTCAATGTAAAAGCCACCACACCTCCACACCAGATACATTATTCACCCATCACATAAGGAAAAAAAACTATAGGGCAAACTCTATTTTCCAATTGTCACTCTCAAAACAGGCGTGTGAGCCACACATTTTGGATGGAACATGTAACTGCAGTAATTTAGGCCTAGTTTGGGAAGACTAAATAAGTGTACTTTTTGACTTTTTATGAAATATGAGTTGGGTTTGGGTTGGGTTTGAAGTGATGTGTTAGAGAGGTGATGTGACTTAAATAAGATGATAGGTGATGTGGTAGTGGTGTAGTGGGTTAGGTTTAGTGGAGTAGGTTTAAGTGGGTGAAGTAGGTGGAGAGTATGTGGATTTAGTGGGTTAGGTTTAGTGGAGTAGGTTTAAGTGGGTGAAGTAGGTGGAGAGTATGTGGATTTAGTGGGTTAGGTTTAGTGGAGTAGGTTTAAGTGGGTGAAGTAGGTGGAGAGTATGTGGATTTAGTGGGTTAGGTTTAGTGGAGTAGGTTTAAGTGGGTGAAGTAGGTGGAGAGTATGTGGATTTAGTGGGTTAGGTTTAGTGGAGTAGGTGAGGTGGTAGTGGTGTAGTGGGTTAGGTTTAGTGGAGTAGGTTTAAGTGGGTGAAGTAGGTGGAGAGTAGGTGGATTTTAACACTATTCTATTGTGAAAAGCTAATAAATCAACTTGTTGGCTTAAAAATAAGTCAACAAAAAAGTAAGGCTTAATCAATCACGTTGCTTGGCACAAATGACTTTTTACTTTTGTAATCACGTTTTAGCTTAAGCACGTTTAATAACTTTATTAGCTTTTTGACCTTTTAATGCAAATGATCAATTTGCCTTTCATAGTAAAGGATTAGCTATTTGGGGAATTTATGAGGTTTTTTTCATTTATTTTAAATATATATATATGTACTGTTTTTTTAACTTTTTATGAAAAAAGTTGACTTTTTTGACTTTTTCAGATTTGTCAAATAACAATATTATGTCTTTTTAGCTTATTGAGTTATAAAAGTCAAATAAGCTCTCATAAGTTGCAGCCAAACACCTTGGGTTGCCTTATAAGTTGCAGCCAAAGGAGCTTGGACTGTCAAATAAGCTCTGCAGCCAAAATGAACAGACCTCAAAAAGCCCAAGAAAAAGTCTACTTTTAGATATAGAAGTAAAAAATCTAATACATATTCCAAAAAAGCCAACTTTTTCATAATTTTTTTTTTATATTAAAAAAGCCAAAAAAAAGTTAAAAGGCTAACTATAAGAACAAATTGATCATTTTGCATTAAAAACCAAAAAACTAACAAGGCCACCAAACATACTTATCTTAAAAGCTATTACAAAAGCCAAAAATTTCAAAGTATGATAAAACAACATTACTTATTTTAACCTTCATTTTTTGTTGGCATATTTTTAAGCCAATAAGATGGCTTATTAGCTCCTCCAAAAAAGGAAAAATAAAAAATAAATTCACAAAACATCCCGTCATACATAGAATGAGAACATCCCACTTATATCCGTCTTAGCATGAATCCACATTCAATGTAGAAGGCACCACACCTACAGTGAATAAACCAATTACTCATTAACACATCAATGTGGCCTAGACACATGATTAGTAAAGGAAATTAATGTCATATATTATTCGCGCATCTTTCACCAATGCGGTAAGCTCTTATTAGTTTACAATAGAAAGGTGTGACGTCATGATGTGTAGACGAGACTTAAGATTTTTATATTATTTATTTTGGCATTAGTATTTTATTAAAAATCTTCTAGTTTAGTATAGAATCTTAAAATTATTATGTTTCTTAAATTGTGTTGATTTAGTTAGTTTCCTATTTTATTAGTTTCTTGTTCTGCAAAAATTAGGCTTATTATAAATAACGATTGTAAGCCTTATGGCAAGGCAATTTTTGAAAATTAATAGAATTTCGAGTTTATACTCTTCTTCTAACCTTGGGCATTTGGTTTGAATCAAATATTGTTGAGCCTTTATTCCTGGTATTCTTTGTGAATCAATGGGTTTAGAGAATGATCTGGCTTCCAGCAATTATTTTTGGAATAAACTGATCCTAAGATCGTTACCCTACTTTCTCTATTACGCGTTTCTGCTACATTGCATGCCCATATCATCTATTTGGATTAGTAAAGATAAAGAAAATATGAGAGAAAATATGAAAGTCTATTTTGGTAAAATAACATAATATACTTTCCTTTCAATTCTCTTATATAGAATAACCAAACAAAATTATCTTTTCACTCCTCTTTATCCAAACAAAACACAATCTTTAATTTTCTTTTCTCTCACAACTCAAATAATCCTTTCTTTTCTTTGCTCTGATGGGTTCCCAAACAGCCTGCAAACTAATGAAATACATAAACCAAAAATTCTTCAAGACTGCAATGCAATAAAAAAGAACTAAAGAGAAGGCAAGAGCTCATATTTGACAATCAACATGAGACAATATTTAATAAAACATAGGAATTATAATTAAAGTAAGCAAAAAAGAAAATGAATGGAATCATATACCGCCTTAGAATCATTCGTGACATGAGACGACCCAAATTCTGATGATGCTTCACAATAATTGTCATCCAAACAAGACACTATTGGTACCCCAAACACATTCTTTGGTACTGTACCTATCTTCTGAGAAATTCTCAACCTTTCAAAAAAAAAAAAAAACCAAAATAGAAAGCAGGGTATATAATTTACTGATCATAAATTGTCCAATAATTGAGTTTTCTAAGGGGAGGGGAAAAAAAATAAAAATAAAAAGAAGCACAGAGAGCAGAGTGTGTGATGATTGAAGACCTGTAGGGTTTGAGCTTGAAGAAGTCAGAGCATGGAAAGGAGCGAATGGAGCTACGAGCTGCAACGATGGTCGTGGAACTGGATGAGGAGGAGAGAGAAGAAATGGAGGGAAAGGTGCTCCAGGCAGTTGCAGCCATTGGGGAGAAATTTGGGGGTGAACTTGAGAATTTGGGAAACAAAATTTTGATTTGGATTCACAGGAGTTTCCCTATTCTATACAAAACCCTAGAAAAACCTTTAAATGTCCAATTCAATAGTTTTTTTCCTTTTAATTTTTTTTATTTTACTTTTTGTAACTTTTTCTTAATTGAAATAGTATATATATATATATATTTTTTTTTTGACTTTAATAGGTTCGTAAATTCATTACACAAGGTAACATAATTTATAATATATTGTTTAATTATTATTTAATAAAATATCTCACCTTTTAGTATAAAAAAATTGTAAAAAACATGAGTCATAAGTTCAATTTTAAATTTTTTTTGGACCTAATTCAAAAGTTTATTCTTTTGAGATTAAAGTAATAAAATAATTTGAAAGATCATATTATCTGTTTATCTATCATGTCACTTATATGTCTAATTATTTGTTAAAGTGTTATTTATATGTTTATATATATGTTCATATGTCATCTTTCTATTTGTTCACATATTACTTATCTATTCACATAACTTATCTATTGGTCCATACCATCACTACTATCAGTTGTCGGCACTGTCGTTAATCACTTTCTAGCAATTTTTTGAACTGCAATTTTGTAATGATCTAGAAGTAGTAGGGTAAAAATGAAAAAAAATAAAATAAAATCTTTAAAATAATAATTTATTCTTCTTACCAAACAATTTTATTATGTCTTTATTTTCATAAAAAATTAATACTGAGATGTAATGTCATATTCTATAGAAATAGACTTATCACCAATAAACCTAAATTTGTAGGATAAATAATAGTTATTTTTTATGTTCTCATGTTATTTTAAAACATACAATCAACTCTCATATCTTATATCAAGTTGAAGATTAATCTTTTTTTAACTATACATTTGCTTAATCTTCAACTTATGAGATAAGAAGAAGAACACCTAAAACTAATGTCTTGTACTGCATATGTGTGATGAGTCCCATTTGAAATGTGGGAGCCACCTTTGGGCTAGAAATGGGTAAACAATTTTTAACCACATTTGGGCTTAGCATATTTAACAATCTCATCTGGTTTGGCTCATGTGGGCCTAACAAAGCTATCAATCTGCAGCCAATGTGAAATTCATTCCATTTTTTCTGTGTCATCTGTGAGAAGGTTTTAAATATCGGAATATCGTTTTTTTTGGCCCCCCAGTGCTGATACACCCGATGTACAGGTGAGAACGAAAATTATTTGCATATCGGCCAACTTGCAATACATTCCGGTTCATAGCAGATTTGCAACCTTCGGCTGCCAGAAACCTCTTTTTGTTGATGGTGATTTTAAAATTCAGGACAATGTCAACGATTTCTGATACGTATTGCTTAGTACTATTGATATGGCTACATCGAAATCGATATTGATTCATTTCTCAATACTGCTATTCTCAATGAAAACGTTGGCAAAGAAATGATACATAAGCAACATTAACCGGGATTATCTAGATATTAACGAAAGGGATAATCGCATCATTAACTTGAAGATTTTTTTTTTTTTTAGCTATTTTTTTTGTATACAAGTATAAATTATTTTCGGGAATCTGATCCGAACAATGATATAACCAAGTTGACATTGATCGTCTGTCAACTTGTACAATTTGGTTCTTTTTGAACCATAGGGTCCGAAAATCATCTATGACCCTGCAATCAAATTGAATTGTATTCCATAACCAAGTGTTGCAAATTGGGCATCTATCAGTCTTGCTCATCCACTTCATGAAAAGGTAATGGAACCGTTTTAACAGCTCTGAACTTGCCAGCATTGTTTAGGTGCTCATTTTCCAACCTGAAAAAGTCAAAAATTTGTTCATTAGATCAATCCACTGGCGATGTGGATGTGAAATATAGTAGTAACAGACTTAGATCCCTCATATTACCGGTAGAAATTCCACTGCCCTCTTCTAATGACTTCAAGGGCTGCTAAAAATAGCCCGGTTACTCTGTAATCCACGCTGCCGAAACTTGAATGCAGAACGGTTTGTAACCACGCGAGCCTGAGAACAAGGTTCAATCCCTGCAAGGCATGCCCAAATTTTTGTTTAGCACTATCTTAAAAGTTGAAAGAATCTAAACTAAAAAACCCAAGAAAATTTTAAAATTGCTTTTGAATTTTTTCTTATAGTTTGCTTTCAAAGCCTAGCAGATTGCTTTGAATCGCTGTATTAATCCTGGTTGACTCTGGGCCAAATTCAGGATCTTGACATTTTTAGAAAAAATTCTGTTTGTATTTTTTTTTGGTCGAAGGGAGAGAGACAGAGAAAAAGGCATTGTCTGTACCATGGAGAAGAAGTAAATGAACTTTTGACGAAGCATTAATTCATTCCTTAACCAGGGGTTCTTGGAATGAAACTGAAGCAAACCCCAATCCTTTACAAAGTCCCAATACAACTGATACACCGTTGCAGCGCTCGACATGGCCACGACTAGACAAAGCAATCCCACGCTCTCCTTTTCCTTCTCGTAGGCCACTTTAGCTCCTGCAGCCAACATTGCTGACACATACTTCCCTAGATTGACAAGATGGCTCGTTTGACCTTCATCAAACCACCGCCTTGCACACTGCATACCAAATCAAATAAAAATCTTTATCGAAATTTATCTCATTTCAAATATAAGCAAAAAGAAAAAAAGGAAATAAAAAGAGAAAAAAAAATGGCTTTAGTTTGGAGAGCTTAATACTAACCTGCATTGCCCTCCAGTAATAAGGTAGGAAGGAAACCGCGTAAGCAAGATCTCTGTAATTTTTGTTACTTATGCAATAACCATAGTCTTGAGTTTTGTAGCTTCCTGTTATGTAGTAGCATGCTACATATTCGAGGTTTCTTAGCATCGGCACCTATTCAATAAGACAATGTTCATCGAAACTAGTCAGTTCAGTTCACGATTTAAAGCATTGTTTTGTTATCCTTGCCCGCTTGGTAACGTTCTAGTTTTCTGCTTTTGTTATAAAAGAAAATTTGAAAACTTGAAAAAAAAATACTTCTGATAATTGTTTTTGTTTCAATAAAAATGGCATAGTTTTCAAGATTTTCGAAGTTTGAAAAAAGAGCAGATTTCACTTGTTTTCATAACTAGTTTTCATTCCCTCCCTCCGCCCACCCCACCCTTCCCTCTGTCACCACCTTTGGCAATTCATCAAACATGTTCTCTTATTTTTGCTTTTATGTGCTTTGAAAACATGTTTATATCAAACACGTTATTTGTTTCTGTTTCTTGAAAAAAAAAAGAGAAAAAAATAGAAGGGACTTAGGTTTCGGTTCTAATAGATAGACTTATTGTCCAATAGATTTTATGATAGACTTATTGTCGGTCCTAATTGATAGACTTATTGTCCAATAGATTTTATGATAATTAATGATATTTTTCATTTAACACTACTAAAACATGTTACCAATTGTTAATTTCCAGCGACAATTTAAAATTTGTCACAAAAAACGTCACTAATTATAAGTTTTAGCGACTTTTTAAAAAAAACGTCGCTAATTTTCAATTTTCAGTGACAATTTGAAAAATTCAGAACAAAAAAATGTCATTAATTTTAAGTTTTAGAGACAATTTATAAAACCATGACAAAAAAGGTTACTAACTATCAATTTTTTGCGACATATGCAAAAAATCGTCACAAAAAATTATTTTTAGCGATAATTTTACTAAGACTTAATGGGAATTAAGTCAAACTATTAGCGGCTATTGGAAGTTTACCAAAAAAAAAAAATGTTTACTAAATAGAAAACAAGGAAATGACAACGTTAACAAACGCTACAGGCTTTTATGTTAGCTAAAGACAAAGTGCACTTGTAGAAGGGCTTAAGCTTACCTGGCTACAAAGTTGATCAGCCATGAAGAAGTCCAGCATTACAACCTGCAGGGTTGTTAAATTTATCAGTAAAATGATTTAGTTCTTATTAAACTTTGTTTAAAATCTATAGCACTATCAAATTTTTGTCCGGAATTTATACACATCTCTAACTATAATTCAGTGGCTGCAAAAAAAAAAAAAGTTACCTTGTAGAGAGGTGATAGAATGATGTTTCTAATCACACGAAGGAAACAGTATCGACTCGATTTGTAGAAAATGTTGAAGGGGCACAAAAGCAATAGGAAGAAGACCTTTGCACACAAAATAAATTGAATTAGTTAATTATAATCACAAATTTTTAAAACAATATGCTTTAAATTGGCAAATTACCAGTAGCAGAAAGGCGGGGATTGCTTGAACTTGAGCATATGAACATCCTTTAGCCACGAGCGACAAATGAACAAACAACACCCCCATTACAGCAGACATTGACACAGCACAGATCAAGAACACGTCTCGATATTTAAGCTCTTTTGCCGGGGCCAGCTCAAAGATGAACGTGTAGTTTATACGCGTCTTCCTCCACATGAAAATGTTGCATCCGTACAAAAAGAAATGCAGAAACAATAGGCTGAACATGCTGTAAACAGAGGACTCTGTCATATTCATTTCATACCCGCTATATCAAAAGTATTAAATTTATGAATCAAAGTGCATACTAAGAATAAAGCGGTACTTGCCTAAGCACAGGGTAAACAGTTTCCATATAGACTGAATCCGATTGTAGTCTATACAGCCCTGTAACATGAGCCACAATGACATACCCAGTGAAAAGCGCAATGAAACATCCAGTGAATAGTCCTGGTTATATGTAAAAAAAGTTTAAATTAGTAAGTTCTAATTTACTGAAATAAGAAAAAACCAAGAGTGAGATGAGAACTTTTTTGTAATTCCTGGATTTTTGCATGGGAGATCTATTAACTATCTTGAATTGGAAGAGCTACGAGTGCTATTGACATGATTGTCATGAGATGAGTTAAGAACTGAAAAATCAGGATTCGAACATATGAATTAGTATGAAATTATTAAGTTTGTTACATAGTTTTTAATTGAACAAGAATACATGTACACTTGCTATACTTGCTGCGCCATTGGTTGTTGAAACCGAGCGCATGGATTGGTTTAACCGTTTGATGGCAAAAAACACAATTTTGCTGATTTTCTAAGGTTGTCTTTTTAGGCCCAAAACATCCATATCTGATCCGAAATGGCTTAACAAGTTCAACTCACTGCTGTGCATTGACCTGCGCTGAATTTTCCGCAAATTCCATTTTATGAAATTAAAGATTTTGAATACTTTTCGTGATTTTAATAAATAGGTTTTGATTCATGTTTTTTCTACGAAGGTTCTTTTATATTTTAGTCCCAGATTTGAGCCCAACTCAAATTTGCTATTTTGGCAGTTTTTTTACTTTTTGCATCTTCGGCTAGATTTGCAGCATGGATAGTGGTTTGGTCACCAAACAATGTATGTTATAAATTTAGTTGTAGACCTTTGACAATATCAGTTGATTTCTGAGAAAAGTTGTTCTTTTTTCTATATTGTTCCTATTTTCGTCGTGTTTTTGTTAATTCCATCACCCTTCCTTGCATCACTTCCTATGGGTATAGGTGTATGATTCAAAATGGTATATATTGATCACAGTTAAGATTGTTATGCGAAATAGGTTTTGCATTGGCATCCAAAAGGTGTTTTGACAAAGCCCACCACAAGTACTTCTCATTTAGAAGCATTCATGCAACATAACACAGCTTAGTAACGCACTAGGGAAACTATGTAATACTGTCTTTTTCATGTTGTTGATCTTATTATGATCAAGCAATGTAGGGTCGGGATTGCACATAAAATGAAAATGGCCTAGCACGGTCCTTGGCTTTATAAAAAAGTGTACTTTGTATGGTGCATTTGATTCATGTTTTTGTTCCCTATACTGTCAGAAAGTGAAGAGTTTCTCATAAATCTCTCAAAACAAGTCAATTAAATAGGTTAATTCTAAATTTATATACTCACAAATTATGTGGAAAAAAACAACACTCACCTATGAAGAAAGTCAGCGCGTGCGACTCTTTATGCTGAGTTGGTTTAAGGTATTTCATTGCTTTCCTTCTATCATCTTCGGCAAAGTGTTTGATGAACATTTCCTCAACCTCATCTGCTAACTTGATAACCTATGATTCATTAAACTAATTAGAAATTGACAATGTTGTACTCCATTTTTTAAGTTTACAGACAAGAGTATCTTAGCTCAATCAATGCAAATCTAAGGCGACCCTTTTTTTCCTGAAAAATTCACTTTTTGATGGCCACTTAATATTGTCCAAGAATAATAATCTTGGTGATGGGATATCTTGTCCCTACATCCAATCATCTTCCAATCGCAATACCATAGCTATGCTTTCGGATTAGTGAGTTTACCTTGTCTGAGCTATTGAAGTAGGAGCTTTCAACCACTTTTAGATAAATGGGAAGGACTTGTTTGTTTGTGACCTTGAAAAAAAAATGCAAATGCACAAAAAGTTTAGTCACAAAAGCAAATCATTATTGAAGTTTCAATCAAGGACTAAAAAAATCTACCATTGGTCATTGCTCTTACTTTGTCAAATTTCTTCAAAATCTTTGCAAAAGCAAGCATGTTCAAGTTCCTAAAAATCATAGTTGACATAGAGAAGATGTAGTTAACATTTTTCATCATTAATCATCAACAGAAGTTAGAAGTTTAAAAAAGAAAAAGAAAAGAAAGAAGATTGTACCGGTAAGTTTTGAGGTAGCCTAACCCTTTATAGAGCTCAATGAAAGCTCCTTTAATCATCTTCTCCGCGTGATGAAGCTTTTTTTTGCTGATGTGAAGCTTAGTTCCTTCGGGACAATATTTCTTCGATGATTGATTAACCAAATCATCCCAAAGTAAGTAAGTGATTGCTGAGAATGTTTGAGTTGGGTTAGTTAGAGGAATGTTTATTCTCAAGTTTTTCCCTTGGCAATTGAAAACACGACCCGACGTAGTCCTCATTTTCCCATCCTCACTTTTCCTTATTATTGATTGCCCCACCGGCTCGTCTGATTTCATTGAGTCTTCATCTGTTGTTCTGTCCCTCCCCTGTTCTTGCTCTGTTTTGTCTCTTATCGACTCGTCATCTGTAGAAAAAATAAATAAAATTATTGGTGATGAAAATAAGTGAATAACTGGTAGAAAAGATTCATAATTTCAATTTAATTTAATTTGAATTTAATTTTTGTTTTTAATCTGTGAAACAGAGAAAGCAGATTATATATATACCACATGAAATGGTGCCGGAAATGGAGTCATCATCCTTCGAGTCCTGGTAGGAAGAACCTTTCTTGGAGCGTTGTTTGAACACGCTTTTAAGCTCAATGAGAATCTCCATTTGTTGCTTCAATGAGTCCCCTCTCTCAAGAAACTCTTTCTCTTTTGTCTGGAAAAATTGGTTCACTTTGTTGAGTTGGAGGTCCAAACATGAGAAGAATTCACTGGCTGCATCAGTGTCAGCAAATTGCTCTAGTAGTTCAGTCTCATACAAGTCCCCTTTACTTGATGAGGATGCAAGTTTCTTATGAATCTAACAAAACACCATAATCCACACATTAGACTAAAAAAAAAATTCAAATTTTACTACATGCATGCATCCTAGAAGGCCGTCAGGATCTTATGTCTCCAAAATCTCGTCTCTCTATCTAATTCACTCTCAACCCGTATGTTATGGAGAGAATCTCAAGCCACAATCATGCGACTGAGAATGCAATGAGCACAGGAGACAGAAATTTTGGGAACAAAGGATCTTGTGCTCATACAACACTAGAGAGATTGAGAGAGGGAGAGAGTACTTGAATGACCCCATGTTCTCTATGTTGATGGCCAAACAAAGAGAACTTCTTAAGAGAGGACATGAAGGTGTTGGGTTGCTTGGTAATAGTAGTATTGTTGTTGTTGTTAAGGAAATGGATCTTCTTGAGGTCTTTCTTGAGTTGCCAATAATCAACAAAGGCCTCTTTCCATTCAGGAACAAGCTGCCCCTCAAACTGCTTAGAGAATTTCACCATCTTTGTTTTTTTTGCCCCCTCTCTCTTGAAATGAAAGGAAATGTTTGGTGATTTGAGTGACTTTTTGTGAGTGTTTCAAAAAGAAGGCTGTGATCACATATTTATGGGGAGTAAAAAGGGGATTTTCATTGATTTTGTTTCACTGCTACTAGTACAGATGCTGATTAGTAGCACATTCCCAAATATCCTATGCACTTGTATATATTATCCTATGCTCCTCCTCCCACTTGGTGGGTATATATAGCAGTTGTGCTTGCCGGAAAATGACACAACCGCCACTGATTGTGATGACTTCGCTGGCGTCATGAAATTTTTTGGAAAGGACAGAATTTAAAGTGGGTGCTATGTAGTGGGAACAAGCCTAATGTAAATTTTATGAAACATGGTCCTTTAATGTGTATATTTTATGTGACATTAAAATGGGACATGCAATGAGTAATGAGCTAGAAATATCATAATTTCGGTACAGAATGACATGATAGGTGTTGGGATTTTTCTGTATTGAAAGAAGACCATTTGTTTTTTTTGGCTTCAAATCTCCTCTATGGTTGCGGATTGACTACCACTGCTCTAATACCCACTTTAGGGGTGTGCATAATATCGTCGAAACCGCCGAAACCGCTAAAACCGCACCGAACTGCACCGCCAAGGCAAATTCGTTATTATTTGTCAATTGAACCGCCGGTTTTTGGTAAGAAAAATGGCAAATTCTAGTGACACTTTTATCAATCCGCCAGTTTCTATTTTTCTTCCAAACCGCACCGACCCGCACCGCTATTAAATCATGTTTTATAAGATTCTAAAAATTCTTTTTTACTTAAGTTTTCTTGTTGTTCTATACCTTAGAATATAGTATTACATTACTGCTCGAGGGGAATTTTATGTATTGTATTTGATCATTGTAGCTTCCACAGATGCTTGTAATGAATTGATGGCATAGTCGTTGATATTATCATGTTGTTGCTACACTTGCTGCATCAGAAGAAAGCTTCGCAAGATGCTTAACATCACGGTATCTCTCGTTTTTTTTTTACTCTTTGATTTGAGTTTTGTAATTTGAATTATATTTTTTATAAACTGTCAATCCGCCCGAACCGCCAAGGCAAATCCGCCATTATTTGCCAACCGAACCGTCGGTTTTTGATAAGTAAAATGGCAAATTCTAGTGACACTTTTATCAATCCGCCACCCGCCATACGGTTTTTATTTTTCTCTCAAACCGCACCGACCCGCACCGCGCACACCCCACTTGTTGGGAGACTTGAAAAATGAAATTTTTTTATTTTTTTATTTGGGTCTCATTCAAATAGATCAGAAATTTTTTATGCGTAGAAAAATCCAAACAAGTTTTGTGAAAAATAGAATTTGTTCCCATTTTGAATTTATTGATCATTTGTATGGACATGTGAAGAAAGAGGAGTTTGAATGTTTGTAATATGATCGTAGTTGGAAGTCTTGAGATGGATAGGTTAGGGCTCTAATCCGAAGTTTGGACTATAATTGTAGTTATTGTTATATTTGTATTTTTTCCCCCCATCTATTGGAAGAAAATAAAAAATAAAAAAGGATAAATTATCAATAAGTCTTAATAGTTAGACAATTCTCATCAAGTACTATTGAAAATAAGTTCTAGTAAAATTATCGCTAAAAATATTTTTTTGTGACAATTTTTTACATATGTTAATAAAAATTAACAATTAATGACTTTTTTTTGTCACGATTTTTATATATTATCACTAAAAGTTCTAATTAATAATATTTTTCTGTGACGAATTTTTTAAATTGTCGTGGAAAGTTAAAAATTAGTGACTTTTTTTTTTGATAATTTTTTTGAACCGTCGCTAAAACTTATAATTAGTGACATTCTTTGTGATAAAATGTTCAAAATGTCATTGAAAATTAATAATTAGCGACGTTTTTTAATAGTATTTGATAAAAATACCATTAATTATCACATGACCTATTAGATAATAAGTTTACTTATTAGGACCTACACGTAAAATTTGTCACAAAGAATGTTACTAATTATAAGTTTTAGCGACAATTTAAAAAAATCGTCACAAAAAAGGCTACTATTTTTCAATTTTCAGCAACAGTTTGAAAAATATCACAAAAAAAGTTACTAATTGTAAATTTTAACAACAATTTATAAAAATCGTGATAAAAAAGTTATTAATTGTCAATTTTTAGCGACATATGTAAAAAATATCACAAAAAATTATTTTTTAGCTACAATTTTATTATGAATTATTTTCAATAGGATTTAATGAGAATTAAGTCCAATTATTAGGACCTATTGATAATTTCTCTTAAAAAAATTCTAAGAATGAGATAAATTACCAATAGGTCATATTTTTTAGATTTATTACCCATTAAATCCTATTGATAAATTTATTGATTTCTTATTTTTATAAATAAATTTATAATAATGAATTTATCAATGACAATCTAGGAATAAATAAGTCTAATTAATAGCTATGCTGGGTAAGTACGCCAATAATTTTTCACACCATCAAGGAGCTTTTTGACTTCCTAAAACTTCCCATCCTGAGCATTTTCTGATTAGTAATTTTCTTTCGATCAATTATCAATTTTTTTTAATTCAAAACACATGTAAATCACACTTTTGTCTCAAATTTTATATTGATTTTTATTATTTAAGTTAAATAATTTAATCTTTATACTTTTAAATGCAATTTCAATTCGATCATTCTTTTTAATTTAAAAGTTAAAATTAAGATTTTGGGACACTTGTTTGGAGTGTATATTAGTGGTGAGTAGCGGATTTATCGATCCGTCCAAATCGATCGAACCAAACCGATCCGCCGTATTTTAGACGGATGTGTGATGACAAGCAGACAATTGTGGATTGATTTTTTTCAATCTGCCTAATTTTGGATGGATGTCAGATTTGAGGTTCCTTTAGCCACAACCGAACTGTCAAACTGCGAGCACCCTTAGTAATTTGTAAGATTTTATATTTTCAATTTGCTTAGATATTCTGTTCGTATTTTCAATTGACAAAGAGTTTAAATATTTTGTTGAATATATTCTGTTGAAAAAGAGTTTTCAACTTGAATATTTTTTTGAATTGAAAAAAATAAATATATTATTTATCTATATATTTTTTATTTTTAAATCTAACTCTAAAAATAATAAATAAAAAAGATGATATATACTTGTTGGTTTTTGTTTTAAAAACAGATATAGATGTAACAATACAGAGGCACACAATTTCTACTACTACTACTTTGTTCATGATTTTGGTGGTTTTATGTGGATGAGGCATGTAGTGTATTCTAAAATTTCAAACTTTCTTTCTTTGGATGAAACATGTAGTGATTGTAATACTTTTTAAGTCATCGACTATAATACTTTTTTTATTTTTTTTGAGGAAGTACACAAGTTGAATTATGTTAGAAATTTATAAAATTTTAAACCGCCAAACTGATTCGCATCCATTCGTCAATCTGCCAATCCGCTCAATCCACATCCACCAGATTGGCGGATAGATGCGGATTGATTTTCTCCAAAAAGCCAATTTGGCAGACGGATGACGGATTGAAAGTTATGTGGCCGCAATCGATCCGCGCTCATATATAGAAAAATTGAACAGAAATTTAAGTGGAATGACTAGATTGAAACTGAATTTAAATATATAGACCAAATTGTTCAAATTAAACTAAGAAAAACTAAAGGTTTAGTTACTACACATGAAAATTTAGTTATCTCATGTCACTTTATAAAAACATAATAAACATCTTATTGTGGAAAATTACCTCTCAGTGGTAATTTGAAAAAAATTATTACAGATGTATAAAAATGTTTATAATTTTAAGGGAAACACTATGTACGCATCTATTTTATATCTAAAGAATAAAATGACATAATTTTATACTTTTTGAGTCATAACTTAAAAAATATATATACATCATAACCAAACGCAATATGAGACATAACTGAAAATCTCATAAGTCATAATTAAAATAATATCATAACTAAAGAGAAAAAATAACATAACTAGGGATGTATATGGTGCATCCATTTTAAAGGTGTGTGTGTTAGAATTTCCCTAATTTTAATCATTAATATTGATAAGTTTATCACTAATTTGTAATTATTTTTCAAATTTTACCTTGATATAAAATTCTCCCATTTTATTATTTAAAAATTAAAAGAAACATCGAGATGACTTATTATGTAAATTTAAGAGCCACTCATTAATATTAGTGGAAGCTTAGTAGCTAAAAACCATATAAAAATTACAAAGAACACAAAGCTTGCTTGTAATTAGACCAGCCCGATTTCCACTTGATTGAGGATTATTGAAAATTTTTAATAAATTTTCTCTTCCCCCACTTTCCCTAGAAAATATTTTGTTCGAAAAGTGAAGATTATAAACTACATATAAGGGTCCCCCAAAATCAACTATTGGACATCTATTGATTTTTCTGATAATTATTTAGTAATTCTAAAATATATGTGTTATTATTTATATGGTATTTTAAATTAATCACGTAGTAAAATTTTTGACGGATGAAACATATTAACTCACTTTTGTTAAGTGATGACAAATAATGATCCATTTAGTATGTATTGTGATTTCTCAATGAATAGGAATATCATGTGAACAATATCACATGATACTTTGAGAATATTTAATAAATTCTTCAATCTTTCGAGACGTAATTCTTGAGTGGGGGTGGACACGGACTTGATGGCTTGCTATCATTTACAACATTTTCTTAGTTCAGTGACACTTGAAAGTGGCACAAAATTACTCCGCTAGTGACATTTTTAAGTATTATGACCTTTTGAACGATTTGTTTGGTTCCATTTTTTCAAAAATACTTTTCAGAAAATTTTATTTTCTTATTTTTCGTATTTTTTTGTTTTTACTGAATTTTTTTAATATTTTAAGTAAATTTTTTTTTACTTTTTACACCTAACATAAATACACCTAAAAAGTAAAAAAATTGCAAAAAAAAAAACTTTTAAAAATTCACTGAATACCAAAAATACGAAAAATACAAGAATTCAGTACATTTTTTGTATTTCTATGTATTTATTAATTTTTTAAAATATTTTTTCACAAATTTTTTACTTTTGAGGTACATCTAAGTAATGTGCATTTAAAAAAGTAAAAAAAAATATTTAAAATTTTAAAAATATTCACTAAAAACAAAAAAATACGAAAACTAAAAAATTCAG